TCTTTTTTTTTTTTTAAAGATTTTTTTTTTTTAATTTATTTGACAGACAGATCACAAGTAGGCAGAGAGAGAGGAGGAGGAGGCAGGCTCCCTGCTGAGCAGAGAGCCCGATGTGGGACTCGATCCCAGGACCCTGAGATCATGACCTGAGCCGAAGGCAGAGGATTTAACCACTGAGCCACCCAGGCGCCCCGAGTTAACCTGTACTTTTAAGACAAAAACCCAGTCACTGCTTTTTCTATGTGTAAGTCCTTCCCCCTAGTACCACCCTCACAAACAAACAGGGTAAGCTCAGCCCATCATGGGGATAAGTCAACATCAGAGGGAGAAATCGTAGAAGGACTCCAGAGCCTAACACACACGTTTCTGCAGAGGGACAACATTAATGCTCTTGGAAATCTTTCTGGCAGCCAGATACAAGAACGCACTTATGAATGTCTCTTAAATACAGCTATTTACAAACGAAAGCTCCTATGTCTCTCTGGAAACTAGTCCTAGGAATCCATTAGTCCACTACCACTGCTGCCCACACATGCCCTGTCTCAGGCCAACAGGGAACCTTCCTGGGGAAAAGCACGCTGAAACTCACTCACATTTAATGCACTACATTAGGATCAGCACTGGAGACCTCACCAGGTGATAAGCCGCTATTTCAAAACCAAGAACATTTACAGCTCAGCTTTCCATGGACTGAGAGTACAGCAAGCAGAGCCTCTTCCTGTTATCTGCGCAACAGAGGCACCCAGGACACCCTCCAAGACACAACTTCCTCCTCGCAAGGCTCTAGCAGAGGACCCTCAGCCATTCTAAGCAGCATTTTAAAGCTTTTCTTTAAAAAGAGAAAGAAAGAAAGAAAGAAAGAAAGAAAGAAAGAAAGGAGAAAAGAAAACAAAGGAAAAGAAAAGACAAGAAAGGAAAAGAAAAACCACACATGGCAGAGGCCCAGAGGATTACCCAGCGGAGGTATGACTGGGAGAGCAAGGCTGGGTGCCCAGCTGAATGGCACCGGGCACACTCCCTGTCTGTGACCCCGTCTCTTCATCTGTAAAGTGAGAGAAGCAATATGACAATTTCCAAGGTTTCTTCTGCGTTTTATCTTACAAAGTTCTACCCACAGCAGATTCTGGGATGCCTTAATCCCTACTGTTGTTTAATAGGGAAATGTCATCAAAAATGTAAACTTCACAGGTTTATGCTTACATGCTTTCCTTGAAGAAACTTTCTTTAAAAACTATTTTCTCAACTTCCAGACTAAAAACCCTTTTATAAGCAAACGCTCTCACTTCCCTATAGAGTAGAATCCCCTACTCCCTCCCCGCCAGCCCAAAATTGAGAGCTTTTTAACCAGTATGCCCACTGCATCCAGAACAACCTCTCTCCTGACCCCCGGGGGCTCAACTCCCTGCAGGAAGTCGTCCTGTAAGCTCTGGCCACCTGACTTAAAAAGGCAGTATTTCAGAGGCACCAGCTGCTGCTCTTTCAGAGGCATTACTCACAACTCCAGCCCTTGAGTAGACCGCCTTGTATCTCTGGAAAATACTTAGGCACAACCTATTTCCAATACAAATTCCCGACTGTGGGACTGAGACGCCTGAAGCCCACGCCTATCCTCTCAGAGCTGCTGCCTCAAGCAAGGAGTGTGTAAACTCACAGGAGTGCCAGAAGGCACCTGGGAGACGACCCTTTGCCTACAATCTCCCTCATGGCAATTGTGAGTGTGGATGTCCCTGTCAGACTCTGGGACACTCCACCCAAAGACACCATAAACTCCAACCTTCCTATGTACAGGATCAAACACATTTAGAGAAGGGAGCCTAAATACTGTTAAAAATGGCAAAGATCTGGGCACCTGGGGGGCTCCGTCGTTAGGCATGGGCCTTTGGTTTGGGTCGTGGTCCCGGGATGCTGGGATATCGAGTCCCATGCAGGGCTCCCTGCTCAGCAGAAGGCCTGCTTCTCCCTCTCCCACTCCCCCCCCACCCCGCCGCTTGTGCTCCCTCTCTCGCTGTGTCTCTGTGTCAAATAAGTAAATAAAATCTTTTTTTTTTAAAAAGATTAAAAAAATGACAATGATCCTAAAGGACACACTGACATTCAGGAAGGAGCTTTACAGAGCAAGAAGGAATCATTAAAATCAACAGGCTACGCTAGAGAGTGCTTTCCGGACGATGTGGGGGCTTACTACTATTTAGGGTGAATGAATGGCAGGAACATGCCCCCTGCCTCCTCTCTGTAAGGCAACAGCCCCCAGAACCGCAGGAAACAGCGCGGGGGAGGAACACCTGCAGGGAGCCGGCGGCGCCCAACTTGCACAAGCACCAGTGTAGCAACACCAGGCGTGACCCGGTTCGCTCCCGCCGCACCGCGGCTGGCGGACTGCGCTCGTTAACGTCCGCGCACACGTGAGGCAGCTCGGGGCACTTCCGAGCCATCTCAGAGCTTCTGCAGGCGAAGCAGCGAAAACCGATCCTAAACGGCTGTGACGCGCGCAGACCCGCGACCGCAACGTCTGCGCCCCAAGAGCTGTAATGATCTTATCCCACAGCTCTCTGAGCCTCGGCGTGAAACCAAGGGGCCGGCCTCCGCCGCGACATCTCGGTCGCCGGGCCACGGAGCTCCCGACGGACACCACCGCTGCGAGCCCGTGCGCTCAGCAGCGCGGCTCGCAGGACACCTCTCAACCGACGGGGACAACACCACCCGGCAGCCTACAAGCAAAGCACACGCGGAACCGAAGAAATCCCGGACACGCCGGCACTCTTCACAAACTTGCCGGCCCGCTCTGCCCTCCAGCCATCCCAACACCTCCTCCACGCAGACCGCCGGGGCCAAGCCAAGGGTCGGCACAGCCGAGCCCGCCACAGCGCCGGCCCTCCCTCCGGGGTCCACCTCAGTCTGACGAGGCGGGCGCTAGACCCGCGGCAGGCGGTCCGCGCGCCCGGCCCTCCACGGCCCCAGCCGACCCCGCGGGTCCCCACCCGCCCCCGGCGCCCCTGCCCGACCCCCCGGCGGCACCCGGAGACGCGCTGTCCGCTCTGGGATGGGCCCGGCCCGGCCGTTCCCCTCCGCCCGACCCCGGCCCTCACCGGCGCGCCACAGGACTGCCAGGGCTCACGCCCGGCCCGTCCGCAATCCCCGGGCCAAGCCCTCAGGAGCCACGGGCGGAAGCCGGCCCGGCAGCACCGACGAGCGTAGACACGACAGCCGCAGCAGCCATCTTGGCACATCCGGCTCCGGCCGCCGCGCCGCCGACGTGTCCGATTGCGACGTCAGCGCGCGCCACGCCTGCCCACCACGCCCATCAGCCCCGCCCATCGCAACCGCTCCCGTGACGCTGCGCCCCGTACGTTCGCTCCGCCCTCTCCCTCGCCGGCCACCCATTCGTCCGCCCCGTTGGCCTCGCCCCTCGCCTGCGACCAATCTTTCGGCGTTCATCCCTTCGTCCCGCCCCCTTGGCCTCGCCCCCTGCGACCCGCCCTTCGCCCACCTGCCGGGCCGGGCGCGCGGCGGGCGGCTCGGAGACGTTTCGCTGGTTCCGCCGGCTCTTTCTCCCAGTCTTTTCTCGTCTTAGGGTGGGAGGAGAGTCGGGGCTCTTCAGTCAGACCTAGGTGAAGAACCAGCCTTGAACGACCGAGGCCAGCGGGCGCCCCCGCCAACAACGGCTACTCGGCGGCGCCCTGGCGCAGGCGCGACCCTCCCATCCTGCCGTTGGACTTCCTCCAAGGCTGGAGGTCGGCGGGAGGCGGCCGCGCATGCGTCGGCGCCGCGGCGGGCTGCGCCTGCGCACCTCGCGGCGGCTCGCGGGTTGCCTGGTTACGGCCGCCGGCGGCTCGGGGTTCCAGTTGGGCCCGGGAAGTTCGTTTCGGTCGGCGCGCGGCCCTCGGGAGCCCAACCCCGGCGTCGTCCTGTAGGCGGCCCCCGGCCCCGCCCTCGCGCACGCCCCGCTGCTCCTGCCGTTCTGTCCCCTCCCTCCGAGCCCGCCGCAGCCCCCCGGCTCCGTCTGCGTGCGACCGCGGCCCCTAGGCCGCCTGCACGGAATCCGGGGCCGGGTTCGGCGTCCCGCGGCCGTTGAGCGCGTGTCCCGTGCTGCGCGCGCCCACCCCAGGGACCGGCCGCCGCGCCTGGCCTGCCGCTCCTGCCCGTGGACGGCGGCGGGGACGAGGCGGTGCTGCCCTGTGTCCACGTTTCCCCGCGAGGAGAGGGAAGTCCAGTCGGTGGGGAAGCAGGCACCAGGCCGGGTCCGCTCACCTGCATAGCTGCCTGGGGCGGGGAGGGCAGCCGCCTGCCCGCGCTTGCCCCGGCTCCGTCCACAGGGCGGGAAGAGGCGCGCCGCTGCCCACCCGACAGCAACCCCCGGTGCCCCCGGTGTCCCCGGTGCCCGCGCCGCCTGCCGCAGCTGTGCAGCACCAGCGGCTGAGGCCTGCCGAGGCGGGAGGGCTCCCTGGTCACCCGTGGGCCTCGGGAGCCTGGGAAGGAGGAAGGAGTGTGCCTCAGCCACTTGTGTGCTGTGACGTTGGCCAGGAGCGGCCACGCTGTCAGGGCCCCGGGGCCTGCCTGGGGACTTTCAGCCCATCTGACGTGGCCACTCTGCTAAGCTAACATTTGCCTTGCAGAAATCAAGGTCCCAACCGATCTGAACACAGAGTCCGCGTGAGCTGGAACTCAGCCCCGGCCCTCGCCGCCCTCGATTCACTTCCTGCTGCGGTCACCTTGTCCCAACAAGCGGCTTCGCAGAGACAGGGGTCCCTGTTAACTCCCCCGAAAGGGGGAAACAGAGGCAGAGGTGCAAGGGCCCATGCCCTCCTCCCTCCTGTTAAGTCTCCTGAGTGGAGGCCCTCACAGCCTTGGCCCTTCGTGGCCTGGTGTGCAGGAGAGGGATCTGGGCCCGCAGGAAAGCCAAAGGTCAGGCAGCCTGGGCTCTGAGCCCCAGGTCCGCCGCTTTTAAGCTTCCTTGCTCTTGACCATCCCATCCTCACCAGCCCGGAGTCCCGGCGGGGTGAGCACCTGCACAACGTGCTCTTGGTGTTTTAGCCAAGCAGCAGGCAGGAACCGGACTGTCCGGGCCTGTCAGGGGCAAGGGGCCTGCGCCAGGTAGGGGGGTGCACTGCCTTGACCGTAGCTGCCATCCTTCCCTCGACCTGCAGTGTGTCCCTCGTTCTCTCCTTCCTCCTCCTTCCTGGCTTACGGAGGCTACATACAAATGGCACCACCTCCCTGAAGCCCGTCTGTGGGGGCTGGAGTCAGTCGCCCTTTCCTGAGTCGTCGTTAGTTCCTCACACAAAGCTCCATAATGAGCTGCAGCCCTGTGGACAGCGTGCCTGGACCCAGGGCTCTGCACTGACCAGCACAGCCGTCCTCCCCTCCCAGCAGCCTGCGCGGTCCAGAGAAGGCTGCCACTGAGCGCCTGTGAGCGGGGCTGGGCGGAGCTGGGATGGGCTCTAAGTACACGACAGAGGCCAGGGTGCCGGGAGCATCAAACGGCCCTCTAGCGGCTCTCTGTCACACATGGAAATGACAGCATTTGGGGTATATTGAGTTAAATAAACTATTAACGTTTATTTAATCTGTTTCCTCTAATGTAGCTCATCGGAAGTTTGAAGTTCCACATGTGCCTGGCATATTTCCGTCAGACAACGCTGGTCTAGACCTTGAGCACATTGTGGGAGGGGGTCAGGGGCCCCCCATGCAGCAGCTGAAGGCTGGTGGCTCACAGCCATGAGCCTCTGCCCCTCACTCCTGCAGGGCATAAAGTAGCTGCAGGAGGGCAGTGTGTAAGTGGGTGCTGGCAGGGCAGCTCTGCTCCGCACCAGGTGCTCTGCTCAGCCTCTGACTCCAGCCCTTGGTCCTGGGCGCTGAGGCTGGGGACACAGGAGGGGGCCTGCTTGACTCAGCCTGGAGAGAGCAAGGGGCTGTCCCCGTGAGACAGGGCCAGCTGATGGGTCCAGGGGAAGAGTGCGTTAGGGCTGCAGAGGTGGGAAGAGCTGGCAGGGAGGGCTTCTGGAAGAGGAGGCCATACAGCTGAGCAGGTCTGAATGCAGAGGACGGGGACGTTTGTTCCTTCAGGAGAGTGCAGGTTGGGGGGCAGAGAGAGCTGGGTGTTTGCGCCTCCTCTGTGGCCCCCATGGTGTGGAGTGCCGGTTGGCGGTGTGTAAGGAGTATAAGGAGAGGGAGGCACCTCTGTGGGGGCAGCTTGGGGAGAAAACCAGCAGGAATAGAGCCGTCCCAGACCCCGGGGGGCACCTTGCAGGAAAAAATCCAGACCCTGGCTAATCACAAGCATGGCACCTTCTCTCTTGTCTCCTCCCTGACATCTGCAAACATGCCTGGCACCTGGCAAGCCTCGGAGAACTTTTTTTTTCTTGTTGAGCCAAGTACTAAACATGTAAGGTGACATAGTGAGAGGGGTGTCCTAGAAAGCACAGGAAGGACGCTAAATCCACACGAGGCAGGCCACAGTTGGGAGTCAGGTGAGAAAGTGAGTCGTGTCCTGGTAGCTGCAGTGGGGCCCTGGGAAAAAACTGAGAGAGACCTCTTTCACAAAACTGTATGTGTTGTTTGCTGAGCCCTTACTGTGTGCCAGGCATGGCTAGGAGCTGTGGCTGTGGGACTGACTGGCCAGGCTTCCGCCCTGGGGAGCATGGACACTGGGCACCTGCCAACGTGTTCAGTGTGGGTGCACCTGGCAAGGCCTGGGTCCCACCTGCTGGTGACCGGGTAGAGCCAGGGATGGAGGAAAAGGTGCATTTGTGGCTGAAGCAAACAGAATCTTTGTAGTGGCAAGGGGCAGGAACATAGACAGTGGGAGGTGACCTCAGGCGGGAGTGCCTTGCCTGGGGCTCTTCGGGTCCTGTACTTGATTTCTGAAAGCAAGGAGGCTCTCGGGGGCTCCCCACCAGGGGTGACATCATCAGTCTGGCTTCTCCCTGGCTCTGGCAAGGTGCTATTGAGAGCCAGAAGCCCAGGAGGTGGCCTTGGGGCCTCAGGGGAGCAGTTAGGCTGCTGGGCCAGACTGGTGACTCCCGAGGGCAGGACCCAGCTCTCTCGCTGCCAGCTGCGGCTGCGGCCCCCTGCACAGCATCAGCACACACGTCAGCTAAAGGAGCATGCAAGACAGGAGGGCAAGAGCCCCAAGCGTCCGTGGGGAGTACTTTCAGGCCTGGGGCATTGCGGATTGGGAAGACAGAAGGGCTGACCTGGAGCATGGAAGAATGCCCAGATCTGCCCATTGCCAGGTTCCACGCTGGGTTCAGCACTAACTCCTGAGCGTTAGTGTTCTTGTCTGCAAGTGATGTGGCCGAGCCATGGGTCTTCCCGAAATGTTATGAGAACATGGACCAGGAGAATCACCGGCCCTGGCTCAGATGGGTGCACTTGGGGAAGTCACCTGCCCCTTTAAGCCTCAGCTTCTCCATCTGTGAAACGGGGTTATAACACGGTGACGGGAGAACCGTGAGTGATTTGTGAGCGGCAGCAGAAATGATCAAGTCCCGGTGGGACCACCTGCTCTCCAGAGGGGGCACTAGCCGGTCGCTGCCAGCAGGTGGAGGCAGAGAGCCGCCTCCGAGTCCACGGGCCCCGCAAGCCTGCGCCTGGGGAACTCGGGCTTCAGGGTGTGGGCATCAGGGACACCTCGGGCTCCTGTGGGATCTGGCCCCAGTGCAACAGGACGAAAGATTCTGGCTCCTCACATCACCACCTGACCGCGGCCCTCTCCAGGGGATTGTTCCTCTCTGGATTCCCCCGGCCCCGGGAGCAGGGGTTGGTGGGCTGAACACAGCAGGTTCCCCGTAAGTCCTCCCAGAGCTGGGCTTGGTGGCATGGCAGAGAGCCTGTGCTTCTCCGGCTGCGCGCACCGACTTCATCCTCATGGCTCCAGGGGCCGGAAAGTGTTTCTCTCCCGTATAGAGCCCCTGCGTTCTGCGTTACCCTGTCCCTCACCAGGTGCTGCCAGCGGCCTCCCTTTCCTCCGTCCTACAGACAAGGAAACACGGGAGAGAGCAGGTGACTCACTTCAGGCCGCACTCTCCTGAGGCTAGTGCTTAGGAAGGAGCAATGTCCAGACAGGGTGACTGAAGGTCTAACGTGGTGTGTTTGCTCTGAGACCAGCAGCGCTTTGACCATAGACACACTGCGATGTCATCGAAAACATACAACTGGATGGGCAGTAAGTATGACCACAGAGAAGCCTAGATTTGTGGTAAGCACTGGGCACACGTCACGGGCTCTCTGGTCCAGGAGTAGCCCCAGGGCTGCACGGAGAACCTCGCAATCCAGCCTCCAGACCCGTTGCACACCCGCCCCGTCGCACCAAGAGCGACGTTTTTGTAGTGCAAATACGGGATGGGGAGAACGACCGTGGTTTGTGACTGGGGCTGCCGCTAGGCTTCAGGACCACACGGGCGTGCAAGCGTGGGGAGCACAACGGTTTTAGAACTCGTCATAATGGCAGCTGTGCCATTTCTGTATCCTTAACCGCACACCGGGAGCTTTCTGTCGGCGACCTCATGGGTCCCCTCCATGTGCTCAGGAGGGAGGCTGCGAGCAGCTCCTACTTTACCTCTGAGAACACCAAGGCTCAGAGGTGCTGAGTCACCTGCCTCTGGTCCAACGGTGGCCACAAGGAAGGTGAAACCAAGATGACACAAATCGGGGAGTGGGGCCGGGCACACAAGGCAGGCACAGCCGTGTTTGCAGCCTGGGCTCACCTGGGGCGGCCCCTCAGACTGCAACCGCTCGG